ATGTTATTTGACCTGTGTGATTGTGCATGCGTGTGAGTGAGTGCGTGTGTGTGTGTGTGTGTGTGTGTGTGTGTGTGTGTGTTGTGTGCGTGTGTGTATTGTGTGTAGTCACATTAGATGTGACTTCAGCAAGATGCCGCCACATATGTGATTCTATCTCATACTGGATTATGAATGCTACAGGGAACTGTAATGTTCCTTCCTTTGTTCCAGCCTTAGCAGAGTACCTGAGGGCATAGTCATACATAGTAAAAAAAAAAAAAAAAAAAAAAAAAAAAAATGGAGAAGGAAGGAAGAAAGATGCTCTGGGTGTGCTTTTGGCATCCAGTGGTGGCAGATGGGCCAGGTTGGTGCACTGAGTTCACTCAGTTTCATCACAACAAAGACAAAATCATTTCTTTGACATCAAATCACTTCCATCAAATAATGTGCCCAGCCTTGAACTTCCTCCACACAAGGGAGGCCAGGGGGAATTTGGGAAAAATTTAAAATTTGATGCTACTTGGTAAAAACATATTCTTAATTTAGATTCTTTTCTTTAGCTTATAAAAGACATGTTTCTTTCCTGTGACCATGAGAGATTCATCCCTGAGGGCACTCCAAAGCTTTGGTACAAGGGTACACTTAGGTCCTCTCCCACTGGAACCAGTTCTTAGAAAAGCTGTATGAGTGTGTTGTCCCATTTCTCAATAGTGTTCATGTATTTCTTTTTTCTTTTGGTTTTTTGAGACAGGGTTTCTCTGTATAGCCCTGGCTGTCCTTGAACTTGCTCTGTAGACCAGGCTGACCTCGAATTCAGAGATCTGCCTGCCTCTGCCTCCTGAGTGCTGGGATTGAAAGTGTGTGCTTAGAGGTTAAAATCACTTGCTGCTCTTATAGAGGACCTGAGTTTAGTTGCCAGCACCCACACTAGGAGACTCACAACCTCCTGTAACCAATTCCTTTGGCCCCCATGGGCACCCACATTTAAATGCATTTACAACAGATACACACACACATATAACATAAATCTTGATACCTTTTTAAAGTAAAGATGAGGAACTAGCCGGGCGGTGGTGGCGCACACCTTTAATCCCAGCACTTGGGAGGAAGAGGCAGGTGGATCTCTGTGAGTTCAAGACCAGCCTGGTCTACAAGAGCTAGTTCCAGGACAGGCTCCAAAGCTACAAAGGGAGACCCGGTCTCGATAAATAAATAAATAAATAAATAAATAAATAAATAAATAAATAAAAATAAATTGCATGTGACATCTCCAGGAACATAGAACTTCTGCACACTGTTAAACACCACCTGAGAGAAACTGCAATGTTCCAGCAAGACAGCTGATATGGGGGGCTCATTGGTCATCTTTTCCATGGTGTAGTCCTAGGACAGCAGCCAGCAGCGGTGCAACAGCAATAGGGACTGACTATTCTTTTATTGATTGATTATGTGTATGTACACATGCACTTCGAGAAGCTGGAGGACAGCTTTCTGAAACTGGTTCTTTCCACCTTTGTCTGGCTTCCTGGGATCAAACTCAGGTCTTGCTCAGCAACCACCTTTAGCTGCTAAGACATCTTGCTGATACCTTTTCATTATTTTTGCTGACCTGACATTTGTGTGGGACTTGGTACCGCCATACTTACTGGTCAAGGCTCGGTTCTCAGGAGGCTGTGCCTTGCTGGTATCTCTCATTCTATTGGTTCGGCTCTAAGTTCATGGATGACTGTGTACTCTGGCATTTTTTCCCCCAGTATTCTCTCTTGTGTTTTAGACTCACCTTCTCTCAGTAGTTCTCAGAGACACACTGGTTAGCTGTTGTGTCCCACCACCTGGCAGACCTGTCAGTTTGACTTCCCAGGAGAGGTTTGCTGGAGGGTTAGGTGAGAACTCCAATGCCATTCTGTGGAAACCTCACAAGCCTTTTGGAATGTCTTGTCCTAGTGCTGTGGGAGGAGAGATGAGGTTCAAGTGACTTTGAAGAATTGAAGGTGGCTGGGAACTAAAGGCTCCAGTTGGCTTACTCCAGATTCCTACCCATTAGACTGTCAGTAGGAGTAGCTGTGGGAAGGTGGTATTGCCACTGGTGGCTGAAGATAGAATGGATTCTTTCTTTGGGCCCAAGGAGAATGTATGCTTCCACAAGACCATTTGCTGTGGGTAGCATACAGTGTGTGAAGAACCTTAACCTAGTGTGATAGCAAAGTTTGCACAGTTAGAAATACTCATTTCCACATGTTTGCTATAGTCTAGGCTCTAGAAGTAGCCCTGTATTGACTGATGTCTGCTTAGCTGAGACCCTGAAGTAGCTAAGCATTCAGATGCTAACAAAGGCCAGGTGTAGTGTAGGAGGCCTTTAATCCTAGCACTTGGGAGGCAGGGGCAGAGGCCAACAGATCTCTGAGTTCCAGGACAGCCAGAGCTACATAGTGAGACCCTATCTTGAACAACAAAAACAAAACAAAACAGATGCCAACATATCAGTGTGCACTGTGATTTAGTTGAGCAATACTGAATTATGTCAAGGACCCAAGACTGTGCATCTCTGTATCTGGGACAGCTGTGAAGCCACCCTGTCATCAGCCCCCTTACATAAATGGCCCATTTGCCTTTTAAGGAATGATCCTTTCTACAGATGAGAATTTCCCAGTGTACTGAAACCAGGCTCCTTTTTGATTGTTCAGACTCCCTCCCTCCCTCTCTCCCTCCCTCCCTCCCTCCCTTCCCCTTTGGAAAAATTACCATTTTTATTCACTTAGAAATTCATGTACGTTTCTTTGATCATATTCACCCCAGCTCCTTTTTAAACCCTCCCAGATGCACCTCCATTCCATCTCTCTACTTCCCTAATTTTGTGTCCTCTTGTTTTTTTATCTAATAACTCATCAACTCCAATTTCTGCTGCCAGTATACTGCATTGTGATTGACCTGCTAGAGCCACCCTTGAAGCCACCAACTGTCCATAGCTCCTCAGTTAGGGGTGGGGACTCAATGCTGGAGTGTTGACTGGCTTGATCTCGTGTGGTCTTTGCAGTAACCCTGTTACATCTAGTAGATGCTGTTTTGTTCTAGTCTACCCAAGTCTCTGGCTTCTAGAATCTTTCTAGAATCTGATGGTCCCTCAGTCTTGGGTAGTGGTATGATATAAATGTTCCATTTGTGGCTGGGCACTGTCCAGTCACACTCTGTGCTTTGATCAGTTGTGGGTTTCTGTGTTAGCCAGCATCTACTGCACAGGAAACTTCTGTAAGGTCTGAGAACTACACTAACTCATCAGTAGGAATTTAGACAGCAGATTGATAGTGTCCACTTAACAAAATAATAGTTGTAGGTTCACCCCTGAGGCCTTCGAGCTAGCTCCGCAGCCATGGGTTCTTGGCTAGGTTTGCAGTACCAGGCATGCATCTCCTCCTGTAAAACAGGTCTGATATCCAGTCAGAAAGTAATTGGTTACCCCATAACTCATGCCATTATTATACCCATGGGCTGCTAATCTGGTCATTATTTCAGTTCACTAGGTTTGTAGCTCAGTAAGACTCTTTCTGACTCCCCACCAAGCCCAGCAGCCTATGCAGCACTTTCTAGTACTTGCCAATAAGGAGGAAGCTTCCTGGCCAGTGCTAACTTGGTACTCCATACCTTGTGACTAATATCTGTGGTGTCTGCAGTGAGAGGGTCTTACCATCAAGTTCTGGTGGGCATTCAAGAGCAATGACAAATAGCCTATTGTTTTGGGTGTCTCTGGGATGCCTTTTTTGGGTTTTTCGAGACAGGGTTTCTCTGTGAGCTTTGGAGCCTATCCTGGCACTCGCTCTGGAGACCAGGCTGGTCTCGAACTCACAGAGATCCGCCTGCCTCTGCCTCCCGAGTGCTGGGATTAAAGGTGTGTGCCACCAACGCCCGACTTCTGGGATGCCTTTGACCAGCAATTTCAGGAAAAGTATCCCACTTAACCTGGAAGAGGGTAACCAACTCTAAAAATGTCCCAAAAAGACATATGAAAACCTACTATTTTATAAGCATACTAAATAAATGCATGTGTAAATTTAAAAGTTTAATTGGGCCTTGCCTCCTTTTAATTTGTGTGTGTAGGAGGGCTTGGGGCTGAGTGCATATTGTGCATGTATTTATGGAGGCAAAAGATCAATTTTCCTTAGGTGCTGCCCTTTGTGTTTTAATTGTGTGTGTGTGTGAACCATGCACATAGGCAGATGCTGTGAAACACATGTAGAGGTTAGAGGACAGCTTGTGCTAATCAGTTCCATATGTGTTCCGGTGACTGACTCTGGCTCTCAGGCTTGGCAGCAAGTGTCTTCGACAGCTGAGCCATCTTGCCAGCCCTATGAGGACTTGAGTTCAAATCCCCAGAACCCACGTAAAATCTGGGCAAGTAGCACAAACCACTGTAATCCCAGCACTCCTGTGTGGAGCCAGAGATGGAATGAATGTTCCAGAAGTTCATGAAAGCCAGAGACAGAAATGCCCTGGAAGTTCTTGCTCCAGCCAGGGGGAAAAACAGAAGAGCACCCCTATCAAACAGAGGAGGACAGACATATGAGATCGTCCTCATTTGCACTGTGTGCCCCCATTCATGTGTGTGCATGCACCAGAGTATACACACACACCATAAAACTGACAAACTGGAAAACTGTAGACAAAGAGTCAGATGTTTGCACATTGGAGTGGGAAAGCATTCTAGCTCCCTGAAGGTAATCAATCACCTTGTAATTGCTTTCCCAGGGCTTTACATTCCATTCCATCATGCAAACCTGTATTTTCAAGACTAATGATTGTTCTGTGTATAGGTGGAAAAACAGAGGCTTTGTTTGTTTGTTTGTTTCCAGACGTGATTTCTCTGTGTAGCCCTGGCTGTCCTGGAACTCCCTTTGTAGACCAGGCTGGCCTCAAACTCACAGGGATCCACTGCCTGTGCCTCCCAAGTGCTGGGATTAAAGGGATGCACCACCAACACCAGTGAAAACATAAGAGTTTTAAATAATGACTCGTTTGCTTTTCAGATAAAAATTTTGATGATGAGGATTCTGTGGATGGAAACAGGCCTTCTTCTGCCAGCTCCTCCTCATCTAAGGCTCCATCTAGTTCCCGAAGGAATGTTAGCATGGGGACTACCCGTCGACTTGTATCATCCAGTCTTGGATCTAAGTCTTCAGGTAAGACAACATCCTGTGTGACAACATCCTATGTGATGTGATGTGCTGGGGTCTTCTGTTATAGTACTTGCCTAACATACCCGCTAGGCATGAACTAGTTCCCGTGTGCACATTCTTGCTTACAGACTTTGCTTGGCCTGTACCCCTCTGTTGATGCCCATGAGCTGGCAATGGTAGTGTAAGATGCCAGGTGGACTCACCATGTTCTAGTGAGTCCAGCCAGTAAATGTGCAGACAGTACAGAGGAAAGCACAGCCTAAGATGAAGATCAATAACACACCACAAGCCCCATTTAGTCATCTGGAGCCAGTCTTGCCTTGATCAGCACTGGGCGTTTTACCAAATCTGTTTGTTAAGGCCAGATGCCAGATTGAAAATTGTGAAAAATATGATTTGTTCATATAGGTAGTATTTTCCCTTGTGAAAATCAGTGTGAGTACTGAGTAAATAAATGGTGGGAGGCCCAGTGAGATGGCTCAGCAGGTAAAGACACTTAGTGCACAAACCTGGTGATGGCAGGGTTCAATCCTTGGAACCCTCCTTCCCAATAACTCCTTGTCTTAGACAGACTTTTAGTTATTTATACCTCTTTTTACTGTCACATTTTAAATTTACACACCTTTTCCTTACTCTTTACCTCTAAAAGATTGTGTAGCCACTTGCTTTAAAGCCATGGTCACTGATGGTTGTGTGTTGGGGTTGAGGGTAGGAAGGTGGGTAGAATCCCACAGCTATGAAAGCCAGAGTTGAATAGGCTCAGTGAACTCCTGAGGGAGGAGGCCCCAGAGTGCTGCCCCTTGGTGTTCTCTTCTGGATGAAGGAAGGTCTTAGGAGTGATGCTCTCTGGAATGACAGTATCTTGACTGCATTCACAAGGTGCCAAGCCACTGTTCCTTTGCAGCCCAGTCATCCTGCCCTGGGAGCTGCATTGGCCACAGGAAGACCAACGTTACTGTGTGTCATGTGTTTGTCATTTTTCCTAATCGTCTCGAGTGCTGTTAATTTTTTGTTGCTGAGTTTATGTTTAACATAAGATTCACTATTTTAAAAGATTTATTTACCTTTATTTAGTGCATGAATGTTTCCTGACATGTATGTATGTCACTGTGTGCATATCTGGTTCCTGCAGCCTAAGGTCCCCTGGAAATGGAGTTAGAGATGATTGTAAACCAGTCTAGGTTCTCTGCAAGAGCAGCAAGTGCTCTTAACCTCTGAGCCACTCTTCAGCTATTGTAAAGGGGAATATTTTCAGTGTTTCATTCACCTCCCTTATAGTATGTATCAAGACCTCGCGCGCGCGTGCGTGCGTGCGTGCGTGCGTGCGTGCGTGCGTGCGTGCGTGCGTGCGTGCGTGCGTGCGTGCGTGCGTGCGTGCGTGCGTGCGTGCGTGCGTGCGTGCGTGCGTGCGTGCGTGCGTGCGTGCGTGCGTGCGTGCGTGCGTGCGTGCGTGCGTGCGTGCGTGCGTGCGTGCGTGCGTGCGTGCGTGCGTGCGTGCGTGCGTGCGTGCGTGCGTGCGTGCGTGTGTGTGTGTGTGTGTGTGTGTGTGTGTGTGTGTGTGTTTTTACACTCAGGCATGCTTGTAAAGGTCAAAGGACAACTTTGGGGGGTCAGTTCTTTGCTTCTGTGATGTGGGTCTCAGGAAGCAAATTTAGATCATCAGACCTGGTGACAAGTTCCTTTACCTCCTGAGCCATTGCACTTGTCCCACCACTTTCACTTTAATGAATTTTGTGTTCTTGACCTTCCCTTGAGTGATGCTAGTCCTGTAAATAAGGGTAAGACAATTTCTGCATGATCTGGTTGCTGCTTTCCTGCCAATATGTCAACCTCAGCCCCTCCAGAAGTTTCCACTTGGTCAGTTTGCCCTGAGCCATACCCTCATCCTTTCTTTGTTTAATACCATAGTCCTGACTGCTTTAGAGTTCCTGCTTTTCAGATCTTGTGGGCTCAGAGGCCATTGCTGTCTGCTCACAGCATTCTAATCATATGCTAAAGCAGCTCTCAGGTCTGCACTGTGACTGACTTGTGAACACATTTATGGCTACCTGGGCTGTTTTTTGTTTCATTTTCTCTAGCAGGTCCAGCAGGGCCCTAACAGCAAGTCATGTGTCTGATAGGAGCAGACATGCTAATCTATATAAGTCATTGCTGGGGTTTCAAGGATGAACACAGACATCAGTGTAAAATTGTAAGGAGCGGAACAGGATGAAGTTGTCATGCATGAGATCCCATACATGACATTAGGAAGCAGATGTCATTTCTTCCCGGGGCAGCACAGAACAGCTAGACAGCCTCAGCATTTCCAGATACACTGTCCTGCTCTTCCCTCACCAGCCCTTCCGGAAGTCCCCCTGAGCCAGTTTTGCCCTCAGCCCTGCCTCTGCTTTAAGTGTACAGGGCATCTTAACATAGCTTTTTGGGAGAAACTTGAATTGGTGCCTAAATAAAACTTTGAGGGATTGAAGAGATGGCTCATCAACAAGAGTGTTGACTGCTCTAGCAGAGGACCTGAGTTGGGTTCTGGCATTCACACCAAACAGCCGACAACTGCTTGTGAGCAGCTCAGAGGCTGCAGTGCCCTCGGACTCTGTGTGTAACCATGCACAGTGCACACAGACACACACACAAGCTCATACACATAAATAAAATCAATCTTTTTTATGAGTTTTAAACATTCCAAAATACAATTTCAGTTATGGATATGAACAATTCTGTAGTGTATGTTTTATATAATTTTCATATTACCTTTTTTAAAAAAAAATGATCTTTTTTGTTTTGTTTTGTAACAGCTGCAAAAGAAGGTGCCGGTGCTGTGGATGAAGAGGATTTTATAAAAGCTTTTGATGATGTACCCGTAGTGCAGGTCAGTGTGGGTCTGTGCTGCTGTTCAAGTCAGGGTAGTGACTCAAGAAATGGCCTAGTGGTTTAGAGCCCTTGCTGTTCTTCCAGTGGACTGGGTTTTGGTTCCCAGCACATGAATGGGATGCTCACAAGTGCCTGTAATCCCAGCTCCAGGGCATACAACACCCTCTTCTGGCTTCTGCAGGTACCTACAAATGTCATTTTTAAAATCAAGGTAAAAGTCTTTAGATTTTATTTTTCAAACATGCCTTTATGGTTAGAGCACTGAAATGCCTGTGGGGCTAGTTTTTAAAAAGTGAAAAGATTCACTTGGAGGCCCAAAGTATGGAGTGTGTGGAGCAGGCTCAAGAACCATGCCTTGACCATAATACTTCATGGTGTGGGGTAGATGACCCTGGGACATCAGGCAGCTCCTGTCAGACCAGTAGAGAGAGGACAGGGTGGGTCAGCTCATGCTTTCATTAGCAATCCTCTCAGAATTTGCCTCCCCAGTGACCCAAGGCCACCCCTTCTTAGTCGAACCACCCAGGCTCCTAACATTTTCATGAAGTGGACCTTGGGGATTCATGTCTAAGGCATGATCCTGCTGCAGAATCCTTTACTTGTCAGTGTGGAAACAGATTGTCAAGACTATAGATCTCAGGTACAGATTAGAAAATGTGGGAGCCCTGTAAGCGTCCAACAAGCATAGAAGTCCTGATCCCACTTGATATCTCCAGAAGAGCAGGAAAGGTGTCTCTGTAGAGGAAGTTAGTCTGTCACATTCAGAAAAGACGCTTGGTGATCAGTTAGAGAAGATAGCTGCATATTTAAGAACTTTTTCTTAAATGAACTTTATTTATGAACTAGAAGGCTTTAGCACCTACAAAGCTGAAGAAAATGGTTCACAGAAGCGTGGTTTCCACTCTTTGATGCCTGCCTTCTGCCTGTAGCCTCTGTTCTGATTCTCTGTGCGCCATGCTGTGGCTCTCCTTGCTGCCTGGGGCCATAGTGTCCATTAGCTGGCAGACTCCATGGGCTCAGGTTCTTCCTTAGTGCTTGGCCTCTTAAGTGAAGTCTCACAGTAGCATTGAGGACTAATGAGGGAGTAGATTCGAGTGTCAGATGAGAGTTAGAGAGCTTGCCCTATAAGCCTGGTGCTCTGGTTTCCTTTCCATTGCTGATAAACATTGCCCAAAAGCAGTAGTGAAGGAGAGGATCTAGTTGGTTTGTTCCAGGTCACAGTCCATCCTTGAGGGAGCTCAAGGCAGGAAATAAATGGCAGACCTGCTTGCTGTTCCACGCAGCTCTACCTCTACCCAGGAAATTTACTCACAACTAATGAAGTACAGCAGAAGTCATGGAGAGTGCTGCTCGTTGCCATAGTCTGAGTTCCATGCTTTCTTCTATAGTCCAGGAGCCCCTGCTCTGGTGCCACTACAGTGGGCTAGGCCCTTCTACATCAATCAGCAGTCAAGACAATGCTACACACCAGCATTCCCAAGCGCCAAACTGATCTAGGCAATTCCTCAACTGAGGCATCCTTCTCAGATGGTTGCAGGCTGGGCAAGATCATCCTTAGAGCCTATTAGATGATGGCTAGGATGCCTGATAGCATGAATTTAATTCCTGAATCTCATAGTAGAAGTTGAGGAGTGGTTGCCAGAAGTTGCAGTGTACCATGTCCCACCATACCCATTCAGTAGTAAGTTTTTTTTTTTAATTACTAATGCATCACTGTCTATTGTATTCTTTCTCTTATACATAAACTCCCCTGTTGCATTTCTAGTACAGATGTCCAAAGCAAGGTGGCTTTCATGTGGCACCAAATCTAGGGGTTCTGCTGATTGTGGGTGTGGGCTCACTTGAGATGAGCATGCCCAGAGAATTCCTCATATAGCGTGAGAGTTTCTCTTATTATTCTTCCTTGACTTTGTATATTTAAAAGTCATCTTAATTCTGTACATTGTTGTCTGTTGAGTATAAATTAATTTTGCTTCCAGATTTACTCTAGCCGAGACCTGGAGGAATCCATAAACAAAATTAGAGAGATCCTATCAGATGACAAGCATGACTGGGAACAGAGAGTCAATGCCGTAAGTGCTGCTTTCCTATGGTTCCGTTACATTTTTGTACTCATTTACACACATAGGAATATTCTGTACATAAATTACCACCTGTATGGAGCTGGAGAGATGGCTCAGTGATTAACAGTGATTAACAGCACTGGCTGCTCATCCAGAGGAACTGAGTTCAATTCCCAACAATCATGGTGGCTCACAACCACCTGTAATGAGATCTGGTGCCCTCTTCTGTCTCACAGGTTACCTGCAGACAGAACACTGTGTAAATAATAAATAAATCTTAAATTAAGAAAAAGAAAATGGGGGGAATCTCTGTGAGTTTGAGGCCAGCCTGGTCTACAGAGCAAGTTCCAGGACAGGCTCCAAAGCTACAGAGAAACCCTGTCTTGAAAAAACAAAAACAAAAACAAAAAAATTCCAACAACAACCATTAGCACCTATACATTTTACTTTCTTATTAAATTACCTTATATTCTTTATTGTTTGCTTATGACTTTTAGTTTGTTTCAGGGTAGTCTCACTATGTGCCAGTTTGCTTTCTGTCACAGATAAACACTATGATTAAAAGCAACTTGGAAAAGAAAGGGTTTATTTGGCTTATGGGTTATATAGTCCATCACTAAAGGAAGCTAGGGCAGGACCTGGAAGCTGGAACCTGTAGGTAGGATCTGAAGTAGAGACTGTGGAGGAATGCTGCTCACTGGCTTCATGGCTTGCTCAGCCTGTTTTCTTACATAACCCAGGACCTCCTGCCCAGGGGTGGCACCACCTTCAGTGGACTGGGTCCTCCCTCATCAATCATCAATTAATAAAATGCTCCAAAGACACGCCCGAAGGCCAGTCTGATGAAGGCAATTCAGAGGTTCCCTTTTCCCAGATGACTTGAGTTTATATCAAGTTGACAAAAATTAATGATAAAAATTACAAGCTAGCCTTGAACTTGGGATCTCCTGCTTTAGCTTGTGGAATGTTGAACTTAATGGTCATGGGCTCCCACACCCAGCCCTACTTCTGTTTTTAAAACATAACCAACTTTCTGGGAGTGGTAGCACATGCCTTTAATCCCAGCATTTAGGAGTTGGAGGCAGGCAGGCAGATCTCCATGAGTTTAAAGCCAGCCTGCTCTACATAGAGAGTTCCAGGACAACCAGGGCTACATAGAGAGCTATTATTTCAAAAGCAAATAAACAGCAACTTAAGAGCTAGAGAGATGGCTCAGCAGTTAAGAACACACTGCTTATACTCCAGTTCTGGGAGCCAATGCCCTTTTCTGGCCTGCATGTGCTCCTGTGTCCTTGTAGTACACATAGACTCATGCAGGTGCACACATATACCTAAAATGTGTGTATGTTTTTTAAGGAAATCATATTTCTCATGGGTGCTGCCTTTAAAATGGAGTCTTAGTTGTGATTTAATTAGTTCATTGTATATTAGGCAATAATTAGCTGCCCAAATTGTCTTTGCAAAAGTGGTTTCTAGGGGTAGAGATGTAAATTCAGCAGTTAAGAGCACTTGATGTTCTTACGGAGGACCTTAGCTTGGTTCCCAGCACCCATATCAGGTGGTTTATAACCACCTGTAACTCCAGCTCCAAGGGATCTGACACCCTCTTCTGGCTTCAACAGATGCCTGCATACACACAAATCTTCTTTTAAAATTGATTCCTATTATCAGTTAACTTTTATGTTATATTGACAGATTTTTGTTATGTAGATTTCAGTGTTTAGCTATGATTCCCACACCTGACTTTTCTCTGTCCCATTAGCTAAAAAAGATGAGGTCATTGCTTTTGGCTGGGGCTGCTGAGTACGATAACTTCTTTCAACACCTACGTCTTCTGGACGGAGCCTTTAAACTCTCTGCTAAGGACCTGCGGTCTCAGGTAGTGCGGGAAGCTTGCATCACATTAGGGTAAGGACTGTAATATGCTACATTCACCCACACTGTATCATAGCCCTTCTCTGAGCTTTAAAGACAACTGCTTGAGCATGTCTGTGAGGTCACCTCTAGCTGGTCTGCAACACTTCTGTCCGTACTATTAGAGAGGTTGCTGCCCGGCTGTGTAAAGTGTTGGATTTAAATTTTCCATCCTGACATCTCTGAAGCCTCTATTGTACTACTAATAGAAAAAAATGAAATTGTATGAAATTCTGTCTTTGAGATATTTTCTTGATTTTCTTAAACCTACAGGTTACATGTGTATTAGGACATTTGTTTGTTTCTCAAAGAGTGCTATCGCAATAAAGTAAATGCAGTAGCTTTGTGCTAGAGTTGCTGCCTAACATGCCCAACCCTCAGTTTAGTACTCAGAAAGAGAAAGAAGCTTAACAAAAGTACTACGATACTGTCTTAGCTTTAGCTAAACTTAAATGCTGTATTAAGCCAAAATATTAAAGCAGTAGCCACAGCAGCTGGCAAGCACTGTAACTGTATCAAGTTTTAGGTTAGGCAGATCTTAGAGCATCATGTTTTATATGCAAAACAAAAATAAAATAAAAAGAGGCAAGCATTGTGTTCATGCTACATGTTTGTTAGAACGTCTTTGGTCTTGGTGGGATTGGTTTTTGCTCTTTCAATACTTGTTTGGAAATTAAGAAAATTATTGGCTGATGGCTTTACCAAGTTCTCTACTTGTGCATTTTAAATTCATTTTTAAGATGTCTTCGGCCCTTGCCTTTTATCTCTAGAGAACTATTGTGGGGGTGGGGGACTGTCATATGTTGAGAGGCTCAGTGCATCCATGTGTGTGAGAATGTGACTATAGCTGGTCCTTTCTTGTTGCAGTCATCTGTCATCAGTTCTGGGAAATAAGTTTGATCATGGAGCTGAAGCCATTATGCCAACTATCTTTAATTTAATCCCGAACAGTGCCAAAATTATGGCTACTTCTGGTGTTGTAGCTGTTAGGCTAATCATTCGGGTAAGTATGTCATGGGGCCACCAGTGAAAGATGGGAGTGGTAGATCCTGCTGGCTGATGGGACATAACTGGCACTCCTCCTGAGGGTGATTCTATACCATTGCAATCTGCTTGCACGTGCAACAGTGTGTCTTTCCCATGGGTGGCAATGTTCAAAGCTGCAGGGTTTGTGTTGTGTCTTGTGGGTGGCACACAGTTGCTGAGGTGCATATCATTGACTCACCTGCCACTGGTCCTAAGTACTTGACCGTCCAGAGCATTTGGCTTTTGTCTCCCCTCCACCACTCTGTTCTTCCTTCCCTCCATGTTAGCTGTTTGTGCTTAAGGTTGCTGTTTTCCTGCATTTCATTTTACTAATTGTAGCAAATGAGGAGCTGGAATGATCTCTTCTTTGAGTTTCCTAGCACTTACTGTAGTGTGAGCAGTGGCCAGGTGTTAGTAATCCTCCCGTGTGTTTTCAGGAAGAGTAAAAAAAAAAGAAACCTCTCCTCTACTCCCTCATCTCCACTCCCCTCAAGGCAGCTGCCTACCACCAAGTCTGAGGACTGGAGTTCAATCCTCAGGGCCCTCATGGTGAAGGGAGAGCCAACTCCCACAAGTTACCTCTGACTTTTACACATGTGATTGCATACGCACACACGTAATAAAAAAAAAAAAACTATAACTGAGATATCTTGAACCTCTGCAGAGTGTGCTCAATCCCCACAAGATACTTAGTATCATTTTCACTCTTACTGTTCTTGCTTGCTTGAAATATTAAATCCAAAGCCATTGTATTTTTCCATTCAAACAGTGTCAGGATGGCTCAGCATGAGGCCCTGTGCATGCACATTGTCTCAGCCACTAGTGTGCTTTAGGTTTCCTACCTCGGATTGCCATAACTCCAGACTGATTTCTATTGCCTCTTGTCTGTCTTGGCTTTGTCAGTTCTATGGTAGCTGAGTGTGACATTTCAGGGAATTCTGTTTGCTTCTTGAGACTGACATTTTAGACTCAACATCCACATGCTATGAGGTCAGTTCTGTTGCGTCTTGTTCCAGATCTGTGTTCCAGGTGCTCACCTCTGTTTTCATCCCTCTCCACAGCACACACACATCCCTCGGCTAATCCCTGTCATAACAAGCAACTGTACCTCTAAGTCTGTCGCAGTTAGAAGGTACGTGTTGGAAGTTCCTCTTACTATCTTTAGGTGTCTAAAAACAAGTTGAACACCAAACCTCCTTCCAGGGGTAAAGTTTCACGTTTGAACTTATTATTATTATTGAAGATCACCGTAACAACTGCTTCTTGATCCAAAAATCAGTAAAATATTTTGTGACTGGCAAGATGGTTCAATGGGTAAAGTCGCCAAGCCTTAGGACCTGAGTTCATCTCCAGGACTCTCAAAAGTTGTTTTCTGGCATGTGTGGGCATGTGTGGGCATGTGTGCATACATAGACATACACAATTAAGATCTTAAATATATATATATTTTTTGGGGTTGTTTTTGGTTTTTGGTTTTGTTTGTTTGTTTGTTTGTTTGTTTTTTCGAGACAGGGTTTCTCTGTTTAGCTTTGGAGCCTATCCTGGCACTTACTCTGTAGACAAGGTTGGGCCTCGAACTCACAGAGATTCACCTGCCTCTGCCTCCAGAGTGCTGGGATTAAAGGCGTGTGCCACCAACACCAGCTTCTTAAAAATACTTTGAAGATCTTAATATCTTGGGAGAGAGAGAGAGAGAGAGAGAGAGAGAGCGACCCTCAGAACATGGGCCTACTCCTTGCTTTTTTTACCCCTCCTTTTTCTGTTTTACCCCCTTAAGTGAAACTTATCTACTCAAAAGATAAACTGATTGGTTTAAGCAAAAAGCTGCTTTATTTTCACCACCAGACACCTTACTAAGTTCTGTGTTTCTTTCTCACCACATTTCAGGCGCTGTTTTGAATTTTTAGATTTACTTTTACAAGAATGGCAGACACATTCACTAGAAAGGTGAGCTTCTGTGATTCAGAACCATTCTCTGGCCTGAGAGTCTGGGGGTGAGTGCCTCAGCAAGGGGTCTATCCCATCTTGTGTAAAAAGGAGTGAATCAAACATATGCTAAGTGACTGTTGTTTCTACTGATGTGAGCCACTTCACATTGCAGAAGCTTCAAGGAATAGCATCCTTCCAGATACTAGTATGTTATTGCTTATGTAGCTCAGTTGGTAGTGTGCTTGCCTAGCATGTAAGAGGTCCTGAATTCCATCCTCAGTCTTAAATAAACTGTGCCTATAATCCCAGTTGGGGCAGGGGGAAACAGAGAGAGAAGGGAGGGAGAGGATCAAAAGTTCCAGGTCATCTTCAGATACACTGGGAATTTAACACCAGCCTGGGCTAATGACCATGTCTTCGGAAAAACAAAACTAATATGCCCCCAGCTGTCAGTATGCATTACCATTATTATTCAGTAGAGGGCAGTATCCACACAGTGCTCTGCGAAGCTTAGTGAGGGTTTAGAGCTGCCCTCATCTGTTACTTTGCAGGAATTTCAACAGCTCAAGGGTTTGTATTTTGTTTTTTGTTTGTTTTTGTTTTTGTTTTTGTTTTTGCTTTTGTGGTTTTTTTTATTCCTTCTGTCATTGATCAGCCATTGTCTTTATGGCGGTTTGTAGCTAGTACTTTTACATATCAGAATTTAGAAGTAGCACTGTGTCAGGCTTTCTAACCAACCTTGTGCCCATTCATTTTCTTTGACATTTTTACTTCCTGTCAGATTTAGGTACTGTGCTTCTGAGTTTGGAGGCCATAGGTGGCAGTGGTGTGCCACACTTTTGAATGGGCATCATAGTTTGTCTAGCATTTTTCATCATAGTGGCAATAGACTCCGGGGAATTCATCCCAGTGATTATAGAGGTCAAAACCAAGACTCAGTCTGAACTGCTAAGCAAATTTCTGATCACAAGAACTGATTTTGAGAAGCTGAGGCTGCCTGCCACTGGAGAAAAGAGCAGGAGCTTGAGAGTTTGTGCAGAGATCTGGTGTTCGTTAGTCATGTAGGCGGTAGTTTTTGGAAATTTTGTCTTTAGTGTTTAAGGAGATTTCCCCATTATAATGTGCACATCACAGGCCATCTTTTCCCTGGAAATCTTTGTGTCATCCTGTCCAAGATATTTTTTTCCCTCTTAATACGGCAAAGGGATAAGAGATAGTCATACTGCATTAATTGAGGCGCAGACCGTGGATAAGATGGATTATGTATGTATGAAGAGTGTAGAACTTCTTTGGTCTTCAAAAGCTAAATAAGTATGGTTTAAAAGGGAGATACTAGGATTTAAAAGTAGTGCTATCAACATCCTTCTTCAAGAGTAGGGTAGGGATGGGAAAGAGGGAATTGGTGAGGAGGTGGGGCATGTTCTTAGCCTCCAAGCTATGTTTTAACTGATTGACTGTGGCATGAAGCCACCAGACCCACATTGCTATTTTGAATTTGATCCCACAAGCCTGTTTTCACCCACTGAAAGTTGTGAGCTTTAATGACTCTTATTGCTCTCTTTCCTAAATGTCTAGACACATATCAGTATTAGCGGAAACAATAAAGAAAGGAATACATGATGCCGATTCTGAAGCAAGAATAGAAGCCAGAAAGTAAGTTTCTATTGAACCCAGCTTACCACTCTGACCCACCAGATGGATTGATTGTCTCACAAAGTCTCCCTCTTGGTTCCTAAGCATATTTGTTAATGATAACTGTTAAATGTGACTCCAGCCATCCACCCCAGTAGATAGTTTCTCTGTTTTTGTTGTTTTGCTCTTTAGACAGTTGCCTAAGTGGAACTGAATATAAATAGAATTGAGGTTGTCAATAGGAGGCTTGTTTTCTATCTTAACAGAGATTATGAGTCAGTAGTGCTGGTTCCCACTCTGTGTATTCATTTACTAAGCTGTTCAGAGCTGTGCAACCCAGTGTTCCTTACCATGTTACCATGGGAGGTGACAGCCACAGGGTATTCTCTTCCTGGCATCATGTTTGAAACATGAAATGGTCACTTAGCAAGCATGAATTATAGGAGGGTGAATTGGATTGACTGATACCTGGGTTGTCATGGTGATAATGTCCAGTTTCAGACTCCCAGTGTTCAGTCTTGTGGTTTCAGCCCTCAATCCAGTACCTCCCTGGAGATCATTTGCCTGGAGACCTACAAGAAGGTTCAGTTTTAAGGCTTACTGACTTGCAAGTTAGAACATTTAATTCCTGTTTCATAAATGCGACAGCAGCTCAGAGAAGTTAAGTAACTTCTCCAGCATCAAAAGGTGGTACAAGCAAGATGGCTTAACTGCCAGTAAAGGCGTTTGCCACCAAGCCTGCTGGCCTGAGCTCAGTCCCTGGAACCCACATAGTGGAAGGAGAGAACCAACTCCCACAGTTGTCATTTCATCCCCACATGTGTGCTGTGGTACCTCTACCCCACCCACCACATCAACAAATAAGTAAAAAAGCTGTTTAGATTTAAACTGTTAAGTTGTAAAGACAGGGTTTGTCCAACGCCTCCTCTGTTAGTTATCTGGCCTTGTGCTCCGTCACTCCTCTTAGCAGGTAAGTGGAGGCCTCAAATCCCAAAGATGCTGCGTTATGTATATTTGGGCTCAACAGAGTCCTCTGACTGGACTGGGGGTTCGTCTTTTTCCTAGATGTTACTGGGGTTTCCACAGTCACTTCAGCCGAGAAGCAGAACACTTGTACCACACTTTGGAATCCTCCTACCAGAAGGCCCTGCAGTCCCACTTGAAGAACTCGGACAGCATTGTGTCTCTGCCTCAGTCAGACAGATCTTCTTCCAGCTCTCAAGAGAGTCTCAAGTAAGGGCCTTGGCTTTGCTGACCACAGTGCAGTGTTGTGTATATACTGACTACACAGAAGTGCACTTTGCTGTGGTGTTTTCACCTGATTAACTGCTAAATCTCCCCAAGGGTCTAGGTAGACTCTGGTTCTAGGTCAGATACTGTCTGTTTGGGAGGTGAGAAACTTGGCCTTGGACTCTGCCACAGACAGTCTTTTCTGCCATAGTGTAGCAAGTTACAGAGCATCATGAACTGTACACATTAACGCATCAGGGAATCCCCAAGACGATGTGAGTGTCACCCAGAGATAGGTTTGCAAAGGGAAGACATTCAAGACATGGGACTTCACCTGGTAGCATGTCTGCCCTGCACTTCTGACTTCTGTCTCTATTAATGCTTTGTTGTGTTTGAAAGGTCATTCGTTTCAAACATATTAACACTCTGTCAGATGTGGTGTTGGTGAGGTAATGAATCCCCTGAAAAGTTCTGAAGACCCTGAAACTCTTAATGGGCACACTTCGGTGTTATAGTTGGGTCATTGCAGATAAAGTACACGTCTGGTAACACACATGTGCATGCATTTTGCAGCCGGCCCCTTTCTGCCAAGAGAAGTCCCACTGGCAGCACCACATCCAGAGGTAAGAGCCATAGAACCACAGAGTCACAGAACTGCATCGGTGGGAGACCTGTCCCACCCTGGGTGGCCTACTCTCAGCCCCACTCAGCTGGGAGTCATGTGCTACTCTGCTGTATGCTGGGACTCCTCGGCAGGACTTCACTGCACCGGGGTCAGTTGTTTGCATTCTTTGGATGGCTAGGCAGGCAGAAATCAGGCTCTGTGGCCTCCCTTCCCTCCTCCATCTCTGTAGCCACCAGTCTTTTTGCTCCCTGCTTCACATAAATGGAGAGCGAGGGCAGAAGTTTGGTACTATTAGCAGCTGATAAGGAGAGGGCACAGCTAAACGGGGACGCTTAACTTTATTTCATATATGGGTCGTAACCTTAGTCCTGTAGTTTTCCATTCCTAGAACACTGGAACAGTAGATACCCCCCAGGCAAGGTTACCATGGTTTTCTTTGCATTGCATGAACCCTTCTCTGGGACAGTGAGGTACTTCCTCCTCGTGGGCACCAACATGTATTACAAGTCTTAATGTTGGTCTCTAAGAAAAGCCAAGCAGCAGCATGTAACAGTATGTTTGAAATGCTATGTGGTCAGTCCTTCCTGACTTCTTCTTCACCACTATAGCCTCTACAGTTAGTACCAAATCTGTGTCGACGACAGGATCCCTCCAGCGGTCTCGAAGTGATATTGACGTGAATGCAGCAGCCAGTGCCAAATCCAAAGTCTCCTCATCCTCAGGCTCCACCGCCTTCAGCTCTGCAGCAGCATTGCCTCCAGGGTCCTATGCATCTTTAGGTAAGCAGGCTCCCTCCTGTCCCGCTGCCCCAGTGACCCTGGCCTCTCAGCAGATCATAGGCCTCTGTGACTGCGAGAAGCCTTACTGTAGCAGGGTGGTTTAAAGTATAAGTAACTGCACTCAGGGATAGTTCCCAGCTACCCTCTGTCCAGTGTCATGTCCAGTGTCCCTTTTCTCTGGAACACCAGCCTAGTCCATAAGGACGTGTGTGGTCCTCATGTCCTCTTTCCTACAGCAAGTCCTGCTTGTACCCAAGCCATGCCCATATTGCCAGCACTGGCTTTCCCCCTCTTACTGGTGGGAATAGAGCCTGATGGCTCAGTGGGGACTCAGTTTCCTATAGTTGAGTGTCTCTTAGAGTGTGTGTGTGGGGGGTAACAGGAGGCTTCTAAGTGACCTTTAGCCAACTTAAGCACAGTCCTGCAAGTGTTCTACCCTACGTGTTGCCTGAGGGGGCACACCCATACTCGAAAGACTGCTCCAAAGAATTGTTTCTAATTATTTTCCAATTTTTTTGGTATCCAGCTTAATGGTAGGTGCTTTTCTGTGCCAGGCTGGTGGTGTATTTTCATATTTTTGTAAATGCTGAGTTAGTCATTCAACCCCCCAAACCTGAGACTTAGCTTAATTATAACACCAGAACCAGGTTACTCACACAACCCATTAGGGATTTTAAGGTTACCACCAAGCTGATGTTCCGAAGGGCTTTGAGATCGGAAGCATGGGGACAGGACAGTAGCCAAAGATGGTGCCACTTGCACAGCCTCCTCATGGTGACAGGGAACAAGCATTGAGTCTGTTCTTTGCCAGTGACCTTGTGGTAATGGTAGCCGTCTGACTCAGGCACATACTGAGGAATTACCTGAAGGTCCTTTATAAACGTTTGCCCTTCAAGGTAGAAGAAAGTAGAGTTGAAATAAGAACACTGTTAACCTGAGATGGTGTATGTCCTGGATCCATGTGTCCAGGCAGTCCCATTTCCCTGAGCTCAGACATTCTCTTGAAAAGAGGCCCAGAGTCGGCTCTCTCCTTCCTCATGGTCACTACTATCATTAATGCACAAGTATTAAGGTAGTGTTTTGTAATATTTGGTGAAGGGAGAAGCAACAACTGTCCCTCCCACAGTGAACAAGTTGTGATCTAAGTATTTACCAGGGTGTCAATACTTTGATCTACTTTTACTATTGTTTTTTGTTTGTTTGTTTGTTTTATTTTTGTTTTTGAGACAGGGCCCTAGCCTGGAACTCACTATGTAGACCAAGCTGGCCTCTAACTTACAGAGATCGACTTGCCTCTGCCTCCCATAAGGTGGGCCTGGTTCACCTTCAGTATTTTTAGTTAGCATTTGCTTAACTGTTTTCATGCCAGCCTTTAGGAGCATACCCAGGGTCATTATTTACTTGTGTACATCTGGGGTATTTAGTTGGGGCCTGACTAGATTCCCTCGGTGCTTAGGGCACCCTCAGAAGCACTGAGGACATTCTCTTAGTCTCCTCTCCAGACAGGAATATTCTCTCCCTTCCCCATAAGAATTCTGCCTCCAGTTTTTCCTTGTTTTTGCCCCTCCTCCACATGCTACCTGAGCAAAAAGTGAAGTAATAGAGAGTTTTGAGACTTCACCCAGGTCCCACTTAGGTTGACCACGATACTTGACCTGTAAAGTGGAGCATTAAAGGCTTATAACCGTTTTCCAAACTTCTAGAGTCCAGACACGTGAGGGAAGACTTGGAGTACGTAGGCCTGGATGCAGGTACTAAACGCGACAGCTGCTGCTGCTGGGCGTGTAGTTGGGATAGGCCTCGCTACAGCCTCTCAGCTTCTCACTCGATTCTGCTCTTGGGGTGACTCCTTAGAACCTGAACTAGTTGCTCCTCTACACACCCTTTCCTGCTAGAACTTTCAGGGAGTGGGGACTTCCGAGGATGATGCCGTTGACAAAGTGGAGATCCTGAGTCACACTTGTCCACTGTGACACAACTGTGCTCACTGTTTTGTTAGCTTTCCAAAGGCGAACCCTGTTACTCCAGACTGAGCTAACTCCTAGTGAGGGCACACTCAGCTGGCTTCCAACTCTGCTCTGCATTTGAACGTGTTCCCCTTTTGGCTTTGTTTTAAAGTGTACATTTTGCTTTTTTTAGTAGCTAATAACATTCTGCTTTTTAATTTTCTGAATGTCACTAACTGTTCCCTGTTGTCCCCTCCCTTGTTTTTTAATTGGCTTAAAGACGGTACTACCACTAAAGCGGAGGGTAAGCGGTTTGTTTCTGTGATTGAGGTGTGTGTCTCTCTGGTCCTCTGTTCCCACCGAGTGCTTCCTGGTGCCCACTTGTCCTCACTGAGGTCCCTGCATGTTGTGTTGCACGATGCCCTCACCCTCTTTTTCGTTCTGTCTCCAGCGGCTCCTGGCCCTCCCTCTCCCTCAGTTCTCTCCCCTTTCTTGTTTAATCTTTGTTCTGGTGACTCAAGACACTGAAGTTCACTCAGGGTGGTGACAATTCTGAGGCTCACTGGGGAGGAATATTGGACATCACCTCGTATCGTATGCTGCTGCCTTGGGGTTTGTTGCTCATGAAGAACCACATGAGCTACACTTTCTTCTTTGTGCTTTGTGGGCCTCTTGGGGTCATCTTTCTGGTTTTGAAAGTAAATATCTGTGTCAAGTACTCAGGTTCAGGGCTGGTGAAATTTTCTACTGTGCTATAAAGACATTTTTAGATGATGTTTTACTCTCCTATGAAGAGCACTGCTGAATCACGTGATGCTTTGATTTGTGTCAGTGTCATGTGCCCCTGCTTGCTCATTTGTGCACATCGATCTTCCCACCAGCCACATGACAATAGCTTTCTCTGCTGAGTGCTACAGTCCACACCATGGAGAGAAATGCGTGTGTCCACATTCCCCGATCCACATTTTAGGCCAAGAAGCTCTTCCTGAGTTCTTGCCTTGTTCTTTGAGTTGAGACACAGCTGGTGCACTCTGCATTGGCCTTAGATTAGCAACATTATCCTTTCCCAAGGGTAGAAAACAGGATATCGCTTCAACAGTTGCATATAGAGAAATGTTGGCTGTTTGAGACTGTGGCTGGGACCCCAGCCCTGCAGATAATGTCATTAACAATCAAGAGCAGCCTGTTTAGTTTGTAACTGTGAAATGGCTACCATGTAGAGGAATCTAGGTTTGAGCAGGGTAGCTCTTTGTCATTTTTTTAAAGTTTATTATTGTGTGTGTATGGTGTGTGTATGAGTGTAGGTATGTATGCTATGTTTTGAGTGACAGACAATTTTCAAGGAAGTCAGTTCTGTCCTTCTATTATGTGGAGCCCTGGGAATTGAACTCAGTTTGTCACATTTGTATGGGAAGAACCACTGAGCCCTCTCCCCAGCCCCAGCAGAGTATGCTTATGTATAGTTTCATCGTTTGTAGACGGTGTCTCATGTAGCCCACTCAGGCCCCAAACTCACTATCTAGCCAAGGTTGACCTTATAGTCTGATCCTCCTCCCAAGTGAGGCTGGGGTTACAATCATGGACCACCGTACCCACATTTATCAGTGCTGGAAAGCAAGCCCAGGGATTTGAGCATTTTGAGCCAGCATTTTGTCAATGGAGCTACCTCCCCAGCCATACTGTTCCCAAGGCCATGGTCTAGGTCTCAGGAGTCAGAAAGGGGAAGAGAGAATAGGCTTATAAGTTTTGAATTATATTTATTTATTGGTATGTGTGCATGTGGGAGTGTATGTGTGAGCACATATTTCTCAGACATGTCTCATACTAAGAATTAACATGAAGGTTTATAAGAAAGACACACACAGAGACCGACCGACAGACAGACAGACATCTGGGTATTTCCTCTGAAGATGCCGATTAAGTCAGAAGGATCTAGAGAACCTGAACTTGAAGAATTCTTGCTGGTGATCTCAAGGTTGGACAGATTTGTGAAACAGAAGGATAGTCAACAAACCTCTACCCAACTGAGGCTTTTATTTGGGTTAACCAAAGGCCGTGGCTGGGTGTGGTTATGATGCTGGGTGATTATTTTCTTGTTCACTGATAGTAGTACTTTTGTTTCTTGTCCTCCAATGAAACAATTCTATGTTTCCTCATCCTAGATGGAAGGGAAGTGGAAAACTAGAGTAGAATAGAATTTCATGTCAGCTACTTTTCTGTTGTAATAAAATATCTTGACAAAAATGACTTAAATAGAAGGAATTTGGGCTTTTGATCCCAGAGGGGAGAGTCCATAATGGTGCGAGAGGCATGGCAGCAGGAAGTCAGAAATCACATCTCGAAAGGTCACAGTTCCCGAATAGAAGACAGTGCAGCACGTGACAGCAGGAAGCTTGGGCAGGTTGCTGAGATATCCCATCTTCTGCAGGCACAAAGCAGAGAGAGCAAACTGGAAGTGGAGCAAGGCAATAAACTCTCAAAGCCTGACCTCCGTGATGTACTTCCTCCAGCAAGTCCCCAAACGGCATCATCAGCTGGGGACCGTGTGTTCAAATATATGAGCCTATGACAGTCATTTCTCATTCAAACCATCACAAATAGTTTATATAAAATGAAAATATTTTTCCCAGAACGCCCTATATAACAGAATTGAAATAGGCCTATTATCCACCCCCCCTCCAAGAATTCTTTACTTATTTTCTTTTCCGTTTTTGTTTGTTTGTTTGTTTGTTTTTTAATCAATTATACAGACCCAAGCAAAGTTAAATTGGTTGTTCAGTTACTGGACAAGGTACTAAGTCACTTTCTGGTTTCCTTCAGTTAAAAGACCCTGTCTCAATGCGTAATAGAGCAATTGAGGAAGACACTCTATGTCAACCTCAGTGTACACACTCTATGTGCACACACTTTCACATGCTTCTGAACCCCCCTCCACACACACACACATACAGCCATGTTAACTTAACTTTTACTGAATTATGATTGTAGTAAAAAATGGTATAGCCTCATCTGCCATCTAGGAAAAAGAACTTAAATTTTAGTTTGATTTTGCTGGAAAAGAAGCATTTAGTATTGTTACCTATTTGTCTAAAAACTCTGAATTTTAAGTAACTGGCCTTTCTTTACAACTGAAAATAGGTCTATTTATTATATTATTAAAAGTAAAAATCTTACACTTGTTTTTAAAAAGTTTTGAAGGTAGAAGTGATAGGTAGCAAAATTGACACAGGATCATCTTCTTAAATTCTGGCTGTGTTAAGAGCCAGCTGTGCATGAGCAGAGGCTGGTTTCATTGTGTTCCAGCAGGTGGGATGTAAAACAGGTGGGCATGTTGGAATGGCCCAATATACAGAGAACTGAGATGGAATTAGAAGACTTCTTTTTATACAAACCTAGGAACTTAAACAACCTTAGTGCAAGGAAGCTGTGTTTTGGTATTTTAGTTACCTTAGGCTGAGGCTTCTGAGATTTCTACTTAACAAAGAAATGATTATATAGCCCCTGGGTATATGGATATCTACAATAAGTATATAGACAAAACAAGTACTGTAAGCTATAAAGAATTTCATTGTAAAACAATTCTTTGGCATACATACAATTTTACCATTTATTAAAAGCAAAAGCACAAATGTACTTGTTTATTTTTCTGCAAAGAATGAAATCTTGCCTGAATAATTGGCAGTGCAGAACACAGAATGTTGTCAACACTTTTCAGAATTGACTGATTGTTGTATAGTTCACCACTTTCCACAGTACAAGGTAGCATGTAAGTGTGGCTTGGGCCATTTCAGAAATCATCACAAATTCTGTCCTAACCCCAAGTTGAGATTCATTGAGCAAGACTTTAACTAACTCAAGCCAGCAAGTCAAAGAGTGATCTTTAAAATCAGACATTCTCTAAATCAATCAAGTCAGACATTCTCATCAATACACTCCACAGGTAGACTAATATTTTTGCATGAGATATGATAGTAAGAAAATGTGAAGAATCTTTACCTTTCTTGTGTTTCTGCAACAGCAGAAGTTTGCACATTAAAAAAAAAAAAAAACATTACAGCTCATGATGTACTACAGTCAGATAAGTGAGCACTGCCAGAGGCTTCATTATGAGTTCTAATTTGAATTCAATTTTTGGTTTGACTATTGGTCAACTTTTTTGCTGCTCATTTTTCTCACAGTCCCCATGTTTAGTTATGGGTCCACGGGTTAAGAGGCTTTGGGCTGAATTGACTGTTGAGAACCATTTGTGTAAGTTAGATTTAGAACACAGCTTCAGGCTCCCATGACTTAGGGTCTTTTCCAGCAGAATAAAAACACGACTGAAAGAGAATTCTCAGCAGTGTTAGAATGCTGAGAAATTGGAATGTTCTTCCGTGATTCTGTGAAAGCTGAAGGCTTAACTCTCCCTAAATCCTTGCTTCTCCCAGTGTCTGCTCTTACCTTTTTATATATATTTTGTGCATCCCTGGCTCCTCCCTCTAAGTCTACAATTTTTCCTTCATCGTTATACAGTTATTTATTTACTTTTACTATTGTTACTTAGGCTGGCTTTGCCCCCTTTCATACCTATTCTGTCTCTTATCATTTAATCGTAGTACACAATTGAAGTATGTTCTTGTGGTTCTCTATTATTTAATTGTGGAACACCACAATTGAAGTATGTTCTCTGTCAATCATTTAATCATGGTACACAGTTGAAGTATGTTCTTGTGGTTTGCTGTGTTTTTGCAGTAGCTTGTGATTTTCTTGAAGACCACAAAACATTTTGTGTTTCTTCTTTAAAACACATATCCAGGCACTTATAATTGCCAAGTTCCTCTTCCTATGAAGTAGACACGTATCTGAACACAGCACACCAGAAGCCCTTCAAACTATATAGCTACTTTCCAAAAAAAGTAAAGAAAGTTAAAAAAAAAAAACAAGAGGACTTTTCAGATGACTCCATAGCATAGTAGTAGGAGTGCTGGGCACACAGAAAGAGACCTTGAGCTCACCAAAGGTGCAAGGCACTGGCTGAAAGCCAACCAGCATTGACAAGCCGACCAGCATACATCCATGAAAAGGTACATGTAGAAAACCTCCTCAATGTCCTTGATGGAGCAGTCAGTCTTCTTTAAACCTTTGTGACTGAGCTCTGTACATACATTAAGCTGACCTCTCCATCTCCTTTGTGGGGCCTGAGACACCCCCCTGCTGTAGAATTAAGTGGTCTGTGTGTATAGGTCCTGTGATGACACTAAATTTTCCCAGAAGAATCTACTCTTGGGTCTGTCCGTTAGACTTTCCTTGTATTCTATGTGCCACATATTCAAGTACAGGCTGAAAGCACTGCATGTGTGAAGTATCAGAGAAAGGTAGACAGAATGAACCCTAAAGGACTTTAGAGTCAATTGTGGAATATAAATACCTATTTAAGGTGTTCAAAAGAAATAAATCTATTTATTTATTTATTTATTTATTTATTTATTGTGTGTGAAATACATAGACTTTAGTAGCCAAAATGATCCTTCCAGTTGAGGACACACTGCCAATCTAAAATAAGCAATACAGCCACCCAGCTCCAGACATGATGAGTGCAGGGTCCAGATGGAAGGTAGCCAGGGTGACTAAACCAAGGTCATTGGCTGAACCCTGGGGCCCTGGGCTTTCACTGTCATGACTCTGCAGTACAGAATGGGTTATATTCTCCTGCCTCCCTGTATCTGTTAGCAAAATAAAATCTAAAAGTACCTTTAGTAATTAAAATAAAGTACCTTTGCATGAGTATAAAAACTGAAGTAGAGCTTTGAGAGAGAGGCATTGTAAATTGTAAGGAAAGAGTTAAGGAAATTTATTTGAGAATTAGTCATATAGAAAAGATAAAATCTCTCCTTGGCCCATATGAAAAGTCCATTCCACTAGTGTACTCACAAATAAGTTATTGAGTAAAGCAATATATTTTATAATTTTAAAATCCCATTTTAATTTTAAATATGTAAAACAGTGGCATATGTTTCTTGATCATGCAAGTATATTTATCAACAGAAAAAGAAAAGAAAAGAAAAGAAAAGAAAAGAAAAGAAAAGGAATTTGAGAGTACTGAGCACTGGCCTTAGGGCCATGTTACCAAATGCTGGGAAGTAAGAGGGATTTAATTCTTTAAGCTTCGTGGGTATAGGTGTTCATAAAAAAAAAAAATAAAAAAAAAATGACCTAAGTATTATATTTGTAATAACCTTAAAATAGATTGCTTTTTAATGTTCATTTTGCCTGATTGCTTTCTTGGGTTTTCCTGAGTGGCTTACAGAAAGCAGAGGTACTTGGCCAGCCAGCTAGCCTTGGACAGGCACCTATGCCAGGCGTGTGACACTGGACAGACTTCTCCCTGTTCTGCTCTTTCTTGTCTATACATTGCTGTGAGAATTCTGATTTGATGGAGATCATAGTTCTCAGGAGAGTAAATAATTTTAGTAAATGTCCACTAGTAAATGTAGTCCAGGCGAGCCTCAAACTTATTGTGTGGCCAAGAGTGTCCTGAACTTCTCCTCATCCTCCTGCCTCACCTTCCAAGTACTGGGATCACAGGGTGTGCCACCATACTCAACTTACGTGTCTTTAAAATTCACTGGTTCCCCTCCACCCTGATGCTGCTCTTTCTTGAACCTTCTTCAAACCTCAGGGCTTGTTTCTGCATTCTTCCTCTGCGAGCTTTATCTGCTGGGTTGGGAAGGTGGCCAGTTCTAGCTGGCTAATCGAGAAAGGCATTTTGTGCTTCCTTGAATCCAGAGCAGCCTTGTTGGGAATTCAAAACCACACTCCTCCCTGCTCATCTCACTGTGGTCACAGTGGTGCCTTAACTCTCATGGGGACCTGGCTGACAGAAGCCCCTGCTCCCTGCGTGGTCAGCCGCATCAGTGCCCTGTGCTTGCGGTGTGGGTTCTTAAGTATGTTACACACTGGCTAAAGCTGTTATGAAAACACTTTTTTTGCTGTATCCTCCAGGTCGGATCCGCACGAGACGGCAAAGCTCGGGGAGTGCCACCAATGTTGCCTCCACACCCTCGGATAGTCGGGGCCGCAGTCGCGCCAAAGTGGTTTCACAGTCTCAGCGTAAGCAGTGTGTTTTATGCTTTGGTTTCCTTAGCTTCCCTTAGTAGCAGGTCTCACTGCTGGACAGAGACTTCCAGCAGCTATGACACTCTAACCACACTGCTAAGGTAGGCTTACCAGATGGAGCATTCCAAGCATGCTTTGGTCTTCTTTCCAGGTGATTCCTATTTCATGGGCTGGGTAGATGAATGTCTCTATAGTGCTTGAGGACCTGAGTTTGGATTTTCAGTACCCACATAAAAAGCTATCTGTACTGTCACACACCTGTAATCCCGGCACTGAGGAGTTGGAGACATCTGGATCCCTAGAGCTTACTGGTCGGCCACTCTAGTCTAATTGGTGAGCCTCGGATCCCAGTGAAAGACCCTGTCTGAAAAAAGAAGGTAGTGGTGGAAGAAGGTGCCCAATATCCTCTTCTGGCCTCCACACATGCATGCACACTCAGGAACATATAACACACACACACACACACACACACACACACACACACACACACACACGTTGATAGCGTTAGACATTAAATTACACTTTCACTCCCTATCCTGAAGTCTCTCAAATCAAAACTCACCTGTTATGTAATCCGTTTTGCAGTATGATTTCCTGTGGAGGAATGGGAGTTGAGAGAAATCTTACATTTCTTTTTTGTTAGCTCTTGGCCGTGGCCTCTGCTGGGTTCCCCACCCCAACTGTGTTAGTGCTGTGTTTTCTAGCTGTAGAAATCCAAATGTCACCTGGATTTAGAAGAAGGGGAAAATTGCTTCTCTGGTGGGATTTAGGAGATTAGGAAAGGCTTAATCTCAAAACTAAGGAACATACTGAACCCAACCTTAAGGCTCCTCACTTCTACTTTGGCCTGATGTACTCACAGGAATGGAAGCCACTGAATAGTAGCACATGATTGAGCCTACATCCCAGGGTTACACATACAAATTCATTGCTTTACTAATGATTTGAATGAGGTAAGTATATTTATCCTATAAATGTGGGCATATGACATTCATAGTCCTGGATTGAAGTAGATTTGTTAATTCTAGATTTAGGGCCCTTAAGGATTGAAATATTTTAGATATTTAAGATAAGGGAAGCCATAGATAGTCAAGGATGAAAACAGTTCATAGCATTGTTCTTCTGACCATGGGCATCTTGTTAAAGATGGAGGTGGGCACAGGTGACCAAGTTCTGCTTGTTTCCCTCTTGCTGAAAGCTGAGGAGAGGTGTGCTGTGAGAAGCAGAGGGCTTGTCTTCTCCACATCTCTTAAGCTTGGCTCATTATAGATGGTGTTTCACAAACAGACCTGGGATAAATGCTAAAACTGTGTGCTGTGTGTAAAACAAAACACCTTTGAAACAGTATCGGTTTTGCTACTGTGCTTGAGAATAAGCCATTTGTGTTGTGTCGCATGCTGACCTTCTGTATTGTGTTATTGTCTTTTAATCCACTTTTTGCCTGTCCTTTGGTCTGCTCTCCTAATGAAGGATCCAGATCTGCTAACCCTGCTGGTGGTAAGCCATTTCTGTTCTTGCTTTTCTGTTGTTGTCATTGGCACTCTACTTCAGCCATGCTCTTTACACAATATTAATTTCTCTATTTATGCTTAATCTTTCTGCATTTTCTTGTATTTCCAAATACTAAAGTTTGAAATGCATTTCTTTTTGCCCTGGAGATAGCTTAATAGTTTATTTCGTGTTCAAATCTTGGGATGGCTCTTCAAAATAATTTGCATTACTGACTTTTACAATGATTTTCTTCCCAAATTGTGTATAGCTTAATCAATATTAGGTATTACTTTTCTTGTGTAGCCAACCAAGTGACTCATGATAGTTTTAATATATGAGGTACATTTTTGAGACATTGTAAAATACATTTTAAAGTCTTTATTCTGTAAGAAAGTAATTTGTGGAAAATAATTTGTGGATAAGTGTTGTTTCAATTATTTTATTTTTTTTGTGAAGGTCTTTCTGTCCTGCATCATAATACTTTATATTTTAAAATTTTACTGCCTTCTCTACTTAGGGAGATAATCTATTAAGTGGCTGTCATTTTGTGTATATTATTTAAAATGTTGCTGTTTCCTAGGAGAGAATTCTGTCCCATATTAAATACTTATAACCATATCTGGATATTTAGCTATTAATAAAGATTAGCAGTCCCGTTATTTATTTCTGATTTATGGTTTTATTGCATATTTCTCAGGAATTGTGGCCCATGTGGTTTCCTTTTTTTTTTTTTTCCCCAGGTTTTCTGAGATTTGTTTGGAGGTTTAGTACACAGTTGATATTTATAAAATATGGGTATTAAAAATGAAAAAAAGTGTTTTGGGATATACATGTAAAGGAGGAATTTGCATGTGAAGTCACGCATTATGAAATGTTAGGCAGTTTAGTGTGGTTAGACAAACTGAGTTGGCCACTGCCTCACCAGGGAATACAGGCAGGAATGGTTGTATATGTAATCTGTTGCTAACAGAGGAGTTGTTATTGTAAGTCATGGTTGTATGTGTCCTATGCATGCTTGTCATCAAACACTGTGCACACAATGTTTGGGTGCTGGCTCTGTCCATTTCTTTGAGGCTTATTATGTTTTTGATAGGGTCTTTTAATAATAATGGCTTTTCCCATTTCTCCCTATATTTTCTCCTTTCTTGCTTAGTATTTCAAAGCTATATTGTTTGGAGTTTGTATTATCTTTGTGGTCAGTTACCCTTTTACCAGTGTTTGTGCTTTTTTGTTGTTGTTGTTGTTGCTTGTTTTTGAGTGTGTTATTTGACACTTATAAACGGTATATAGTTTCACTTCATTTATTTGTTTTATAATTTCAAGGCTAGGGGGTGTATCTCAGTAGTAGAGCACTTGGCTAGCACAACAAAAGTCAACCAAAAACTTCCTGTCTTTTAATAGATGAGTGGTGTCCAGCCACATTCATTATAGCATTGATAGGTTTAAGCTTATTTGTACCATCTTTCTCTTTGATTTTTTTAAAAAAAACATTTCTAGTTATTTCACCCCATGTCTCTTCTTCCATTTATTAGATTAATGGCATTTTCTCAAACCCATTTTCCCTATGTTAATGCCTAAGAAGTTTTATTGTATTCATATTTCTACTTACCCAGTGATTACACCAAATTTCTAAGCAATCCATTCCTTGGGGTTGTGTGGTTAGTGGGACACTGCTTGCAGATGTCACTGGCTATGTGTAGAGCTGCTTTGGATCGGGGTACTTCTGCCACTATCAGCTTTTCCATTAGAAACCGCTCCTGCACTTTGAGTTTGCTCATGGGTCTTCTAGGCAAATATATTAATTTATGATAGTAATCCTTTGTCCTCCGTTTAAAAAAACAGTATTAGCAACTAAAATGCTATAAACTTTCTTAGTGTTTCATGCAAATTCATGTGTGAGAATTGGTGTCTTAAATTACCATGAATTGTCACCTGATTCATAGCTGTCTCTCAACATCATTTTGTTTCACTTTCAGCTGGCAGCCGGTCAAGTTCCCCCGGGAAGTTGTTGGGAAGTGGCTATGGTGGACTTGCTGGGGGTTCCTCAAGAGGCCCACCTGTAACTCTGTCTTCAGAAAAACGAAGCAAGATTCCCAGGAGTCAGGGATGTAGCCGAGAAACAAGTCCTAACCGGATAGGATTAGGTAAGGATTCTCCAAGAATTGGGTTATGCTCTAATCACTGTCTGATACAGAAAGTCTGCTTTTCAACTCAAGGAGCTACTTCAGCTGTGCTTCAAAACAGGCATGGGGCGGGAATTTACCATTTGCAAAGTACTAAAACTGGAAAATAAGAGGTCCTTTTCTAATTAGAAGCACTGCCGCTCTTCATTTTTCTTTCACTGAATTCATTTATCACTGGTGTAATTTTCAAAAGCCCCTTTTATTTTGATCTCTAACCTAATTGATGAAACTTATAGCAAAAGAATATGTATAATTACTCTTGACATAATTTTGATGAAACAGAAAAGCTGGAGATTGGTGAACACTGATATAAATACTCACCTGATTGTTGTTTAGTTTCTTTATAACACAGACGATCCTTCAGTGCCTGACAGACCTGAAACACTAATTCATGTTCCCTTTTAATGTAAAAGGACTTAAGATTTAATACCAAAACATTATTATTTATTGGTGCATCTACATTTATATATCTGTCTGCTTCATGAAGTACAAATTTACTACTGTAAAATGAGTACTTTAACCTTTCTTTAACCTTTAACCTTTTCTTTAACCTTTCTTGTTGGCTTAGTTTTCATATCCACTGATTTTTCTTAACATTTTTTTACTCTAATGTTTACTCTTTTTTAGACCCAAGAATTTGAAGGTAAATTAAACAGGTTTAGCTTCTCATTTCCAAACCCTTGTAATGTCTTGGGAAGGGGTGGGGATGTAAAGGGTACGGTGCATTGTGACAGGTGCTCAGGGACCATGAGAAAGGAGGCCCATGTGACCCTCCAGATTTTCTGGTAACAGGTGTCCTGGAATAGGTCCTGCTTTGAAGTACAAAGAAAAGTTGCTCTCTGGAAAAGAGAACCAAATCCAGAAGCAGCTGGGCACGAAGGACTCATTAGCCATGTATGGTGGTTGGCAGTCAAGGCAGCGACTAGTAGGGCTCAGCCAGGGGCAGATGTGAAGGAGTGGGTAAGATTTGATTGGAACTCAAATTTCCAAGACGAATGTCTGAACTGTCTCATCTGCTACCGAAATGAAAGTTGCCTGCATTTGGCTCGGGTTTTGTTCAGAAGGACATTTTATTTTAAATCTAGAAGTGAATCTTCAGCAGTCTTTGCCATTGTTGATTTCTGAAGTTTATGTAAGTTGTATGTATGCGTGCATTCTATTATGATATCTAAAATTAGTGTTTTCAGTTGAGGACATTTAAGTGTCTCTCAGTACTGTTTGTTTCAGGTACTTTTCTTGCCGTGACAAAACACCTGACTGACCACAGCACCTTAGGGAGGAAGGGCTTGTTTGGGGTCACAGTTCTAGGGTACAGCCTGTCTTGCTGGGGAAGGCTTGTGGCAGGAGGGTGAGGCAGCTGGTCACCTGGGACCCCCAGTCAGGAAGAAAGCCATGGTGCTGATTCTCAGCTCACTCTTTTATGTAGTCCAGGCCCCCAGCCCACGGGGTGGGTCTTCCCATCTCAGTTTCCCCTGTCTAGAAACTCCCTTACAGACTTGCCCACTGGTGACAGGTCACCCACCAACCCTTACATTCTTCTTTTAAAAAAATTAGGAAATAACCCAATTTCAGTAATCCAGCATAACTCTAGGACCTACTATTCCAGGCTTTCTCCAACGGTCCCTTGTGTATAGTAGTATTGGGCTTTGAAGGCCAGTATCTTGAAGCATCAATAAAGGAGTTTGTCTCCTTCCAGGAGCTCATATTTGAAGGTGGTATTTTTTGCTGTGTTTTGTTTTTTTGAAACAGGTCTTATGTAGCCCAGGCTAGCCTAGAACTCAGAGATCTGCCTACCTCTGTCTCCCAGGTGCTGGGATTGTATTACCATGTCTATCTAAAATATTATTTTGAAGGAAGTTATTTCCGTGGTGCTCATGAGGGAGGTGAGTAGTGCTGGAATTTTAAGATCATATATGAAGTTCTGATGAGAACTTATGAGAATATACATATAAAGAAATACATATGAACAAAATGTACCTTTACGCTTACTATTTAGAAGGTGGTAGGTGCTTAAAGTTTTTTAGTAATAGACTGTTTACTGTGATCATTGAGTTTATACTTGATATATATTTGTGTGCCTGGTCATTTGGTTTGCTACCTAGCAGTTTTAATTACAAATATTCAAAAGAGAGATAACATGTTTTAAAAATGTTTCCTCAAACCACCAAACCACTTAACTGAGCTAAAACTTAAGCGGTTTTAGTGGCTGTTAAACTAGGCTTAGAATTTACATTAAAAACTAATCCTAAGGCCAGGGGGATGGGTCTGTGGTAAAGCTGTTAGCTTCACAAGCTTGATCGCCAGAAGCCACAGAAAAAGCCAGGCATGGTAGCTCATCTGTGTAATCCTAGCACTCCAGGTGCAAGGTGGGGGGAGAAAGCATAGCTACTGCCAGCTCCAGGCACAGAACTCAGGGACGGAAAAGAGCAAGGTGGGAACTGATCTCTACACATGTGCCATCCATCCCTGTCTTTCTTACATACACCCACAGAGACAGAGAGAGAGAGAGAGAGAGAGAGAGAGAGAGAGAAAGGAGAAGGGAGAGAGAGGAAACTAAAGAAAGAAAACCAATTTAGTGATAATCTACAAATTATTCCTCTTTTGTTTTAAATACATTTAACTAAATTTTCATTACTTGCTATAGAATAATGTCAGGGCCCTTGTTGTTGTATTTTTTGTTTTGTTGTTTATTTTTGAGACTGGGTCTCACCCTTTAGCCCAGGTTGGCCTAGAACTATAGCTGTAGTTCAAGATGCCTAGTTGCAGGAGTCTTTCCTCAGCCTCCCAGGATCTGGAAAAACAGGCTCCATCTACCCACAGGGGTAGGTGGGGTTATAGGCTCCATCATCTACCACAGTCAGAGCTGGGGTTCCAGGCTCCATCTACCACAGTGAGATCTGGGGTTACAGGCCCCATCATCTACCACAGTGAGATCTGGGGTTCCAGGCCCCATCATCTACAACAGTGGGATCTGGGGTTACAGGCCCCATCATCTACCACAGTGGGATTTGGGGTTACAGGCTCCATCATCTACCACAGTGGGATTTGGGGTTACAGGCTCCATCATCTACCACAGTGGGATTTGGGGTTACAGGCTCCATCATCTACCACAGTGGGATTTGGGGTTACAGGCTCCATCATCTACCACAGTGGGATCTGGGGTCACAGGCTCCATCTGCCACACTCAGCTGCCATTTAGTTACTAAGTAAAAAGCACAAAGGCCTGCTTACTCTTGTACACAGTGCCTCCCCACCTCTCTCCCCCTCCAGAGACTGTCTGTCTGTCTGTCTGTCTGTCTGTCTGTCTGTCTCTCTCTCTCTCTCTCTCTTCCTCCCTCTTCCTCCACCATTTTTCCCTCTTATCCCTTCATAAGCTACCCAAACAATTAGGAAAGCACATTTATAAATTGTCCCACTTTGGTGTCTTAAAGACTTTGCAGATGTGAAGCCATGGAAATAGCCAGAGTCACTGGTGCCTCCAGTTCACTTCTGCGCATCTATCGAAAAGACTACAAAAAACCATTCAACAGTTTTGCAACCTACATTGTGTGATATATACTTTAAATGTCTTATGACTTTTTGATTAAAACAGATTTTTGGAAGATTGAAATTAACTAACTGATTTCTTTCAATTATGAAATTAGATTTGCTCAGACATGAAAATGCCTAGAGAGGCATAAAATGCGTAGTTTCTAGTAGTTTTTCTTAATTCTCTTGCAGTTTCACTTTGGTGTGTACTCTGATTGGGTCATTCCTTAAAAGGCAAAAGTTGGGTTGGAGAGATGTTAAGAGTTCCAACAGTTGGAACATAAACTCTTGGAGAGGACTAGAGTTCAGTTGCTAGGACCCACCTTTAACTCCAGCCCAGGTGGATCTGATGCCCTCTTCTGGCTTCTATAGGCATTGCACTCATGTGGAATTACTACTATAGACATACACAAACACACATAAGTAAAAATGAAAATAAATCCTTTAAGACAAATGTAAGGATTACCCTTGATGTATGGTAGTCTTATCAAGAAATGCAAACCAAACAAGTACCAGCATTTCATGTAGACAAAAAGTCAAGAGCTTCCTAGAGTGACTGCTGTTAGAAAGACTTAAGTGTATTTCTCCTGTTCCTCTTACACATCCCCCATGGCATTGTCTCACTTGGATATGTGTTTGGGCCTTTACTACCAAGACAAGCTGAATTTATAATCTAGGTAGATAGATAGGTAGGTTAGTGGGTAGGTAGATGGGTGGAGAGTATATGAATAGTTTTGACAACTTAGTCTAAAAATAATTTTCTGTGCTTATTCTATATATCTTTCTGTAGACTAGTCTTGGAACTAATGTTTTAAGTGTCTATTTTTTGTCTTACTGGTTAAATTATCCTGCATTGGAAATACCACTCTTACCACAATATGCACTTTAATAGGATTTGGGGCAATTATGGAGAGATTTCTGACAAAGTAGTGGACAGAATTCTTTTTCTGTATGCCACATCATAAAGGAACCCATCAACATGGGTGGGTGAGTGCCTTCTCTGGAAGAAATACCAAGAGGGTAAGGCTTGTCGAGAAGTTTGTGTGAGCATTTTCCATATCACAGCTGTTTGTTCTTGTTAGTGGTCTTCGTAAAGTAGGCCTAGTCCAGAGAGAGCATGTATTTCCGTTTCTTTAGCAACTCTATGAACTTGAAAAGGCATGGGTTCTGCATAAAGTTACAGTGTAATCAGCTGAGCAAGCACTTATAGCCAGGAGAACATTTTTAACCACCTGTTTTGGAATAGACAGTAGAAAAGGTCAGGACTTCCATGTATAATGTTTGGCAAGCAACTCTGAAGTATATATGGGTATTGTCCCACATATGGGTATTACCCCCAGTACCCTTCTCATATAAATGAGGTGATTCTTTTTAATTCTTTATTTCCCTCTGGGGAAGATGAGAACCAGGGAGACCAAGTAGGTGGATCAGTG